CAAGCTTTTACTACTATATAACGTTAAGGCTTATCATGCAGTTTTTGTGGGCTGAGTTCTTAGAACTATAAAATAATGTGTGTGCCAGATATATCCAACCCACTGCTGTTGGGGACAACAGTAAAGCATTTGATTTGTTAGAAGATTGTTTTGTTGCTTTATTTGGTTTGGACTCCATTTGAACTTTTCAAAATGTCAGGGTAGACCGCAGAGGAAACTAGTGTGTTACCATTTCATATGCAGGCACTTAGCAAACCAATTTTTTTGAATGCATTATTATTACGGTGGGTAATCACATTACCCATAAATAATTATTTAGTGAATTCAAAATCTTATTTTACCATAATATAATTAAATGTTGACCTAATTAAAAGTTCAGCGGCCCAGATATGAATTAATATTCATATTTGTATTTGTATTTTCTTTCATGTTTATTTATTTATTTGCAGACCATGTACATTATAACGGATGTCCAATATTGCCATTGCCCTTTTTGTTCATTGTAGCTTTTCACCTCCTTTTATCTTAGTTATAGTTAGTTACACACACACACACACACACACACGCACGCACGCACGCACGCACGCACGCACACACACACACACACACACACACACACACACACACGAGGTTGACATGGCAGATTCAATAACAGGTGACATTTAGAGGTATGTTTCAATGTATATCTATAGCCATATATTTTTACTTATTATGTATAGGCTTAATGCCAATTGCCAGACTGTTAATTGTTTTCAATTGTTTTGTGTCCAGTTCAGGGACGATATACTATAAACATAATAAGTAAAGTAAATACTGTTGGAAATATATCAAGTGTGTTTTGTTATTTGTGGTGTAGTTGTTACTTTACTCACAGCTCGGGGGCAGAAAAAACTATGGAAAAGACAACTGCAAAAAACAAAGTCTACACAAGTACAAGAATAAAACAAAGTACTTGAGGGCCAGGCTAAACCAGAGTATGGGAAATACAGACTTTGGTCACAACAATTTGAAGATGGCAGGCTATGACTTAAATGCTGGAAGGCTTTAAGGCACAATGCACAGAGACAACCAGGTAGCAAACTGGTAGAAGTGGAGCTATTTATGGGATATGTAACAGGTGAGAGGAGCGGGTGGAGTCAATCTACTGAGGGCAGGCAGATGGTGTGTCTGAAATGACAGCAGACACAAGAAAACAGAAGTAGAATAATAATAGTATAAACAGGTGAACTCAACACGTTGCTACCTTTAAGCTAAGACCAAAGAAAGACTACAAGCCTCCTTCAGTTTTCATATTAATCATTTCCAACGCTTGTCTCTGAGACCCACCCAAAGTAAACACAAACGGTAACCACCGTATGGCTTCCTGCATTGAGATCTACATCTGAGGCTACTGCCACGTCTTTGTGATTTCAGATTTAAGTCCGATGGCTTTGCAATAAAGGTGAGGTCGTATAAAAGAAGAAGTGACTTCATATTTCTCGTTCTCTACAGCTAGACACCCTTTGATGGCCGTTCCTATTTGTTATGTGATTTTAGTTATAATTTCCGCTTGGTGCTGGGACACACCAATTCATTGTATGTTGGTTTTTACTGCAATCTTCTCATCATCAAGAAACACAACAATCAATCAAGGGTCTTTACTTAAGGGTCCTTTCAACAAAACTGTTCTGCCACTTGTATTTTCTATTTTGTGTGCATACGTTTGTCCCAACATCTTTGCTCTGTGGCTAACACAGCACCATACAAATAAAAGTACTACATGTTTTTTTAAACTAAGTAACATACCACTATACTGCTTTCGAAAAGGAGCCATGGTTAATTTTAAAAGGTTAATCGAGCAGTCAGTAAAGATTTGGTACTGCAAGCACACGTTGCTAGCTAGCCAGCCAGCTAACAGCGGCGATCATCACTGGCAATGTTGTTAGCCTAGCTTAACATAGACAGGAAAGATGACTGTCCAAAGTTCAAAAATATCCTAATAATAATAATAATATTAATTTTAAATGTATTTTGTAAGCGCTTTTACAGGTGCTCACAGTCACTTAACAGAGATAGTGAAAATAAATAATTATATCTCAATAACTCAACTCATTATACATTGCTTTTTGTTTGTTTAATATATACATCAACAGCATTTTAACAATGTCAATTTGTGGTTTTAGAGAGAGGTGCATCCTGACTGTGTGCAGTTTCCCAAGCTGTTGTCAGGCTTACTTCTTCACAGCTGTGCAGAGACTTTAACCAAAACCTGTGGATAAACTGTGGTCCGTCAGGAAAGAGTTGCTACACATCTGGACGCTCAAAAAGAAAGTGGATAAGTGTATCATAGGCTACAGTTACACATTTCAACAGGATTGTGAATGCTACTTAAAACATTGCAGTTGTACAAATAAATAAAAGCAGTAGTCATTAGTGTTACAGCAGACAAACAATCAAAACAACTCCAACAGCATTATATGTACATTAAGGCTTCACATGGTGCAATTGCACGTTTACAGACATTGACTTCAAGATGTCTTTCTTCTTCATTTTCTCCCCTCCACGGCCACATTGTGCGCAGATATGCACACTTACAGTGGCTAGGCATTTTTTGTGTTTGCCCTTCAAGGAAAACATCACTGGTTAGGTATAATGATTAAAGGACCTCAGAAAACAACAATGCCTTTTGTCGAAAGGAAACATCTGAAAATGTTTGGTTTACATTAAAGTGCAAAAATGCTCTAACAGACGATATCCTCAAGAGCTGACCACCAGATGCTAGTATGGCAATGGAATCAAAGGCATGGAGCCAGAAGACAGTTTTCCTTTAAGGCCCTGTCACACTGTCCCAAAATTGACACCCGATGGACACACGAATATAGAATTGTGAATTTCGCGCGAAGATGGCCCCGAACCACACACGAAGGCAACATTTACATTACATTTAAGACATACAACTGCAATGAAAGTACCAAAAACAATTGTGTTACAGTACTATGATACTGTACTGATATCTTCAGACTTTGTTCTTTACTTTATCCGTCGTTATATGTAGAAAATATTACGTGTTCTCCGTAATGTTGTTTCCATAACAACAACAACTTCCTGTCAACTGTCCTTCAAAATAATATATTATATCCTTTTTAGTTTCACAGAACACAAATTGGGTTATTTACATAATATATTTACATGATTTTGTTGTGCAATAAAACAACCCGATGGACACACGATAAAGTAAATGTTCAAATTCGGCTGTGATCGTAGCAACATCGGGCCATTCGTGAGGGCATCTTAAGCCATCGTATGACCGCCGGTGGAGTTTCTCAGGCTCCGGCAGCAACTTCGTGAGCGGCAACTTCGTAAGGCACTCGTGAGGGCATCTTGTCAAATCGTGTCATCTTCGTGTTATCATCGGTGCATTCACCCTCACTCTGATCGGGGTGAATGCCCGATGGCACCGATGATAACACGATGCCCTCACGATGGCCTTACGAAGGGCACAATTGACACACGAATTCAACACGAAAATGAACCTCCGCAAGGTCCTTCGGCAATTTTTTGGCATGCCAAAGATTTTGCCACCGCTCACGAAGTTGCTGCCGGAGCCTGAGAAACTCCACCGGCGATCATACGATGGCTTAAGATGCCCTCACGAATGGCCCGATGTTGCTACGATCACAGCCGAATTTGAACATTTCCTTTATCGTGTGTCCATCGGGTTGTTTTATTGCACAACAAAATCATGTAAATATATTATGTAAATAACCCAATTTGTGTTCTGTGAAACTAAAAAGGATATAATATATTATTTTGAAGGACAGTTGACAGGAAGTTGTTGTTGTTATGGAAACAACATTACGGAGAAAACTTAATATTTTCTACATATAACGACGGATAAAGTAAAGAACAAAGTCTGAAGATATCAGTACAGTATCATAGTACTGTAACATAATTGTTTTTGGTACTTTCATTGCAGTTGTATGTCTTAAATGTAATGTAAATGTTGCCTTCGTGTGTGGTTCGGGGCCATCTTCGTGCGAAATTCACAATTCCATATTCGTGTGTCCATCGGGTGTCAATTTCGGGACAGTGTGACAAGGCCTTTAAGGCAACACAACTACATTTGCAAACATTTGACAGATCATAGCTACTGTAATTTCTCGCTTATATCTACTCCCTTTTTTTCAATAACAAACTGCATGCATGAACTGAGAACGATCACATTTACTGGAGCAAAGCTAGCTTCTACACTTGATAGTCTCCAAGTGGTGAGAAAATGTATATAAAAAGGTGAGAATAAATAATTTTTCAAAGTATGTGTTTTAAAGTCCGTTTTGGTGAAATGTACAGTTTAGCTGAATGTATTCCTAAACTCTAAACGTTTTTAAAAAACGAAGAAAAACTGATGATTTTGATCTCTGCAGCAGGTATAGCCTACTGTCATTTAAGACCAGTTAGAAGTTTGCTGAAAGCTGAGCAGTTAGACAACTAGAGGTCAGCAACAACATTTTGAGTGTTACTCTTTAAATATTGAAGTGTGCAAAGCTTTTATATGCTGCAACGGATAGGAAAGAGGCTGCGCCATGTTGCAAACATGCAACTTAAAAATATTAGGTATGAAAACATTGCTCTTGCAGCATAATGGCTGTATTTTTTAAGAATGCAAGCAACAAGTTGGAGTTGCTAACATTTGTACAGTTGGTGGATTGGTTTTCTGAGGCGAATAAACAAGGACTATAGGCCTACCCGCAGTCTGGAGGTAAAAGCTGCCTTTGTGCTGAAAATGATCATGAATTATAATCATAATAAAAATATGGCTCCATGCTCATGTAATGGCCTTGTTTGAGATAACACCTATGAATAGTGTTGCAGTGTTGACGTATTTTTGTAAGCCGAACACGGAAGTTAGCATCACAAGGGCTCCATTGACGAAGAGCAATGGAATTGTTCCATTGGATTGAAGATCTTTGTCAGACATACATTTATGATCCTGACACGTTTTGTTCAGCAGGACAATCTCCACATATTAACATTACTTTTATTATTTTGGAAGCGTAAATGTAAATCTAAAAAGCTAACATTAGGCTATAAACAAACTACACAATTGTTTTGACATCACCACTAAGCTAAGGGTGGCTAATGCTCGACGTGACCACGTTTAGTAGTGTCATTTAGAGTAGAAGACAAGTGAGGAAGTGTCTATACACATAGGCTCTGGACATTCACCAGTGGGATGTTAAAAAACGAGTTAAAAAAACTGCACCGGAAATGGTAAAATGCTAACCCATTACCGGGTTTTGGGTTAGCATTCCTGCAGCACTCTATTGTGGAAACGGTTTTCTGTCATCCAATAAACAAATTGCTGCGATTATCAGTGTCATGTGACTGGCATAGATAAGACCTAGGAATTGTGTTTTACCTCTTCTTAGTTAATGAAACTCTAAAATGTCCTACCATAGTGAGCTCAACAGTGCACGTGACATTAATTGAAGACACAGTGATGCTGCTACTTCCTTATCCGACAGCAGTTTGACCGCCTAGGATGGTGAGGTAGTTTCTGTCCTCTTTTACACCACCTCTTCTCTCCGCTCCAGACCTGCTGGCTGGACCTTGGGACTCCGGGGCCGGTTCAGTCCGAGCGCCTCCCCCCTGGCCTTCAGCAGGTGTTCTGGTCCCCAGTGCATGCACAGCAGGCAGGGGCAGGAGACAGGGTGGTGCACAATGCTGCTGGAGGGGTAGAGGGCTGTTTGTGTTGGAGGCAGCCCCCCCGCTCTGTGGTGGTACTGGGAGAGGCGGAGTGCGTCCAGGGTCCTCATGGGCACATTGTAGCGACTGTGGGCCGAGGGTGAGGAGAGAGCCAGGGGGTAGTGGCTGGGGAGGGGGAGGTGTGAGAGGTGGTGTGGGATGAAGGGGTACAACAGGCCGGAGGAGGCGCGGCCCATCAGGAGCGCCCCCAGGGGGTCCACGAGAGGGTGGGGCCACGGCAAGGAGTGTCTCTGCCTTTTGTCCTTCATCCGCCTGTTCTGGAACCACACCTTGAGAGAGGAAAGGAAAGAAGGAAGGAGGGCAAGGAAGGTGAGAAGATTTGGACAAGAGCAGAAAAAAGAAGGTCAGGATAAGTTGAGAGAAGACGATTTGTTCAAAGAAGTACTTTTTTTTTGGGGAAAATTAACTGTACAATTAAAATGGAAAGCAATGGTTATTTGACCAAAAAGCTTCAAACGACCAATGTTGATATTCAATCTCAGAAGCATCTGCTAATTATTAGTAGACATAACGTACAGCTGAGGCCGATGGGAATGTCATTATTTTGCAGGTATTTTGTCTTATCATTTAGATTTGACTGAATTCAAAGACATATAGGCTATAAACAGAAAAGACAACAATACAATACAAGGACAATGTTCAAACATATCATTGACATGATCACATGTTATGCACATGGTCTGAGCTACTCTATAAGATATATATACTTTAATTATTATTATTTAATAGTATTTTTCCCCTGATCTAATATTCTCTATATTACTCTCACTTACAGAGACAAGTTGGGATGGTTTAGTTCCAGGACTGACCTTATCGTAACCCATCATCTGTTATCTATCTATATTTGGGATATATGTTTGTGGCAAATACATTTCTGTCAAATGGCTGTTGAGATGTAGCACTGAAAACAAAAATGGAAAGTCATGAGAATACATTGTGTTTGAACCATTGATTTAATAAAATGTAACTGCACATGTACAGATGATAACTATATTCAATGTAAATGTATATTTTAAATTGCAATGCTGTCCATCGCCTTGCTTCATTTAATTTCTCTACTTAACTAGATATCTCCCTTTTCCTTTAAGCTTTAAAGCTGGGAGTCTTCTGTGTGTCCGTCTGTCCTCAAATCTTTTACCAGCTCGTAGAAGCTCCTCAGAAGGCTGAGCTTCTAAAGCGTCAGGTGGCAGCGTTTACGAGGCCTCGCCTCACATTCCTGCTCTTTCATAAAAGACCCTCCAGTAGTTGGCAGAAAGGTGGCTTTACTGCGTAGTAAAGCTGCTGCACTGGGCCAAATGTTACACTGCTAAACCTGTCAGTACTCAATCCAGCACGCTGACTAAAATGAAAAGTAGATAGATTCATGGGAAATGTCAAAGGGGGTTTGTCGTTTCTTTTTGAAGCTGTCACAGATTTTGGCTTCCTGTTTCTTGCCAGAACAAATGAGGTAAGAATTGAAAATCAGAGATGGAGTTTTCTGAAAGCTCAATGTCAGTGTTGTCAATACGGAACTGGAAATGATCTTAGCTAAAGACTAGGGGAAACATTTAGCATGACTCCATCCAACATCCGTTCAAAAACACTGTCCAGCCCCTTTGAAGCTAACTGATTAGCATGTTGTACCCTGTACAGAAACAGCAATGCTAAAATTATGATTTGTGTTAGGGGACAAACTTAACGGCCCATGAAACCACAAACTGCTGTTTTCTCTTTGTATACAGATTTGGCAAACCATATACGACATGTAAGGAATCATTTCACACTTTGAAAAATATGTTAATTCAATGTTTAGCGCAATGAATGGAAACAGCTGTCTGGAAAACCCCAAATCAAACTCCCTGTCTCTCTGTGTGTGGCTCAGTCAGCTTAGGATTGTAGTTCATTTCAGTTTAGTGACTAACCCTTACACTAGTCAAGAGTATCCTATCATGCATTTGGCCTCGGGCAAAAAGTAGTTGCTGGGCCCCTATTGACCACCCAGTCTCTCTAATACACAAGAGTATTACATGAAGCCTATGTTCTGTGTAGTGGAAGCTATCAGACTACTGGTCGGATGAAAACACCTTCATGTTGCTGCATCATGAGTACCTGTCTGAACCCTTATCACAACCCGTGGAAGTGGATGCTTGTTACTGATTTATTCACTCCACTACATGGAGATATTGTACTTTTTATATTAACTGCATTTATTTGACACATATTACATGCATAATCCATTTATTATATATGATATAGTAATACAAAGTATCCAAACGTTGCTTTACATTGAAGAATTACCACATACAAAAATTCGTAGTGATAAAAACACATATTATAATATTTTATAATCATAAATCACTTATAAAACAGTCATTCAGCACAATGATTACCTTAGTTTTTTATACTTTAAGTAAACTTTTCTTACTTTTCAAGTAAGTATTTAGCACAATGTAAAAATACAAAATACAAACACCTTGTGCATTCAACATTTTTTTTAAAGTAAATACAATTTTGAAGATTGAAATTCATTTCCTTATTAATTATTTATTGATCAATTATATTATATATACACATTTTCATATATTTTTGTTTATATAACCATTTTCATTATTTGTATTTACTGTATTCACTGTAACTTCATTGAAGATGTCTTTTGTTTTTAAGTATTTTTGTTGCATTTTTGTGTGTCTTTTAATGAGGAAGATTATTAAAGTCAATGTTAAATGTACCCGCTGTGGGACTCATAAAGGTATTCTGATTCGGTATCTGCTTCAGCTTCCCCCCATGTAATGGCCATCTCCCCCCCCCCCCCAGACTGTTGGCCATGTTAACACACACACACACACACACACACACACACACACACACACACATACTGACGCACACTCTCTCTCACACACACCTTGATGGTGGTCTCCGGCAGGTTCAGGGCGGTGGCCAGCTCGCAGCGGCGGGGTCTGGAGACGTAGCTCTCCGTGTTGTACTCCTGCTCCAGCCGGGACAGCTGCTCGCGCGTGAACGCGGTCCGGTGCCGCCGGCTTGGGTCCAGCAGTGCGCTGCGCGGGCACGGCTCAGTGTGCGCCTCTGCGCCGGGACAGTGCACAGCGGCCACCGGCGTCTGTCTGTCCTCCGACACTATGGCAGGCATAGAGGATAATAAATGAATCAATGTCGGCAACCAGTCTCACATCTGACCCCAAACATGTCCTGAACACTGAACATGGATTGTAAATTGGAGGGTCCCACGATTTAATAAGGTTAGACTGAAGAGGTCCTCTGTGCGCCAAAAAAATAGTTGCGATTATTTTCTGTTGTCCATCATGATTCATGATATCGGAGGCATTGGTCGTTTTTGAATCAAAGTTCCCTATAATTGAAGAATATATGAAATGATCATGGTGTGATTTCTTAAGAGGATCTGTAGCAAACAAATACGTTTTCTTACATTTGTGGAACACTGTTTGCAGGGGAGATCTCTGCTTTTCCACAATACTTTATGCAAAATTGTATTTTCACATATATTTAGCTTTTAATAATTTCGTTATTCCTGCAACTTGAATATTGTACTCGTCCAAATTGCGATTTTGAAACAACTTTGACTAATTTCGCAACCCTATAGTCAAAGTCTCTCTTGTCTGTCTTTGTTGCAAAAACAGCTGCTGTGCCAGAAATAAATTAGACCTATGACCTGACCTGGCAATAAAGTAGGTATAACTGTACCATATCGTGTCATATCGTATTCGGTGTTTTATATATATTGTGGTTTCACCTGTACACAAACTACAGTAGCACACGTGATAAGAGATACAAATCAGTCAAAACATGAATCAAGCAGAATGCAGGGTGGAATTTAATGAAGTACTCGAGTATACTCCACTAAACTATGGGACCAACTTTATCGGCTTTAGTTACTGTACAGACTCAGATTATTAGCTACATCATAAATCAACTAATACACATTAACACACAATAAGATATCCCCAGCAGTATATAGGAATTACAATGAGCTCCACCTTTGATAGAGACATGCATCAATAATCATAACTTTTTAATTAAAAAAAATTGCCATTACACTTATTGATCCCTTTTACATGTGGTCCTGTAGGCTATATTGAAGTACTTCTCCCACCTCTGAGTAAACGCCTCTACATTGATAGTTGTAACTTGATTCTGAACTGATGGCATTTTGATGCTTCAGTATGTCACATTACTCCTGTGTGTTGTCAGAGACTCAGCTGTAAACATTGGTTACATTCAATATATTCCATGCTGCTTAATAACCTTTGGTTTGGTGCACTACTTTTTACACAGGCCTCCTTTCAAATACCAAATAATTGTAAAACTCTTTAAAACTATTTGTATTTTAAAACAAGAACACATTTTTTTAAAAGTAAAATATGGGTCGATGTTGTACTTCTTTAGTATTTTACACATTTCTGTTGGACCCCAAACAATACAGAAGTCATTTATAGACATATAACTGTCTAATTCAATTTGAGCTTGTTGTATTTGTAATCTCTTCACTTTTAAAGTGTGTTGATTGTTGTTGCACTTTGAACTGCCCTGTGTAGACATGTCCTATATTTTAAACGTGCCTTGCCTTGCCAATGACAACACACTCGATTAATCATATGGACAGTTGCGTTTTGGACATTTTAATGAGGCTATACTTTTCTATTTTGAAATAAGAAATACAGTTATCTCAGTTATTCCACTTTGGAAGCACTTGACAGTGATGAACAAGCATTTTTGACATAGGCCTACTTACGCATCTGTGGTGTTAGAATGAAATGATAAATAAATCCTCCTGTGTGTCTCTCCGCTGAAGATGCTGTCTGCAGTCTGACAAACTTCTCTCCCTGACTCTCACACTTCACGCAGACAGTCAGGGTGAAGATGAGGTGTGTTTGACCCGACTCCCCCCTCCTCCTCACCACTGTCTGTGTCCCCGGGGCGGCTCTGCTCTCCTCTGCCCTATCACAGGCGCTCCAGACGGGCCGCCGTGTGCGCGTCGGGCCGGCGCGGCGCCGCGGCCCGCGGAGGTGTAGAGGTGTTTAAGGACGGAGCCTTTGGTCTCCGTCTCGGCCTTTGTACTTTTGTTATGGAGAATTAAAGACGCGCAGGCAGAGACAGGGAGCAGACTCACATTGTTCTCCGCCGTTTGATGTCGGCGGGTTTGGAAGTAAATCATTACAGGCCTAATGGCTCCAAATTGGCCCAGGTGGATCACGACGGAGGAATTATTAAAGTCTTACATACTGTACATTAATACTTGCTGCTGTCAGGCTCCTCCAACAATTCAACATCAATATAATAAATGAACACAAAATAATAAAAATAGTGCAAAAAGAAACAGAATAGAAAAAAATAGTTTAAGTGAATTTTGCGAGTGACCAATGTGCAATCTTTTTTAAATCGGTATTTGTATCAATTATGACCTTTTTCAAAGCGGTGGTATTATGACCGTGCTTATATATTATTTCTTTCACGATTAAATGAGGTAGATTAATTGTGTTAATTATCTACTGTATATTTACAGTAACATTAAGCCATAACAAAGTAGGCCTATGTATTTAAAGAAATGTGTCTACGTTATAATTTAAATATTTAATTTGCAAATAAAACTTTCTTAACGGTATTGGATTGCGTAATTCGCTTCGCATTAACACGTCAGCTAAATGAAATGTAATGCAATGTATTTTAATGATATGAGGAAATATCCTTTGTTTTAAGCAGGCGTTTAAATAACAAGCAGTTATGGCAATAAGACTTGACAGGCAGATCATGTGAGTTTATAATAATAAGTAGAGCAGTATCAGTCTCTAAACCATCCTTTACACAGCCTCTCTCCACTGCAGAGCTGACCCTTGAACCTGTGTTTTGGAGTTTATTGTGGCTATAATTTGCGTTGATTGTTAATCCAGCGGGCAGATGATGATAAAGAGGACAGGCGGAGGACAGAGACACTCAGACGCCAGGTAGGGTGGAGTCCCTCCAGCAGGAAATGTATCGTTATTAAAGCACTCAGGTAGATCATACAGAGTCACTTCAGAGACAGACAGATAGAGATAGATAGATATATAGATAGATATACTTGGGAAATATTTTTTGTCATTTTGGATAACATTGTGCAAGAATTACAACATTTCTTAAAAAATAGAATAAACTTCAAATAAAATAAAACAAATATATGCTTGGTCAAAGTAGAAAATACATAGAAGAGTGTATAAGAATACACATTATAAAATATACAAAAATAAATTAGAACACTCTCTAATAGCTATTAAAGGGATAGAAACATATAAACATATTGCACTATGTTTATTAAAGCATTGTGCAGCTTTGAAAGTGGAATTGAAAGTGAAATATATCCTGTGAGGTAGTGAAAGCAGAGCAGAGCTATATGCCACATGTTTGCACACATTCACAGTAAATATGTATTCAGTATGATAGATGTCTAACAGAAGTTAAATCAATTTCTCACTTATTCTGACAATGTAGCCTACTTAACCCCAAATAAAAGAACCCAATGAAAAGAGTTGTTAAATAATAGTGAAGTCACGTTGTAATAACAATAACTCATCTCTCTCTCGTTTTATTTTTGAGCTTTGCTAAAAGCCACTGTGTCAAGTGTCCTACTTGGGTTGCCGTCCGGAGTTGTCCAATATGGCGGACCATCTCGCACATGCGCAGTACAGATCGGGCAGGGGGACGGATCGGGTAGTGACAGCCGCAAACAACTTCACGGCGTATACTGCCACCCGAAGTCCCCGGCCGGAAGTCCCCGGAGTTGGACTAAATCGCCGACACCTCATCACTCCACCGCGGCGCTCCCATGTTTTATTTTGTGTTGCCATAAGTCTCTCTCCGTTGGTGCGCTGGGCTAATGCTAATAATGCTAATGCCAGCTAATATAATACAATGGCGGCTTCACAAAAGTTTTCCGATTTATACAGGGCGTGGTTTGCAATTCGCCCAGCCAATCAGAAATGGGAACCTTTTTCTCCAGGAAAGTATACCTGCTCTAGCATGGACTAAAAAGGGGACTTCCGGCCTGGGACTTCGGGTGGCAGTATACGCCGTGAAGTTTTTTGCGGCCTGCCAGTAAACCCAAAGCAGAAGAAGAAGAAGTGGTCAGGGCTTCATTTGCCTACCCAGGTCAAAAAGTAGTATACTTTAGTAGGCCTATTAGAAATATAATGTAGGCCTAAGTATACAAAAGTGTATACAAGTATACTTATACTTGTTGTGCTTAATTGAAAGTATGTTTAAAATGTACTTTTAAAAAGTATAATTCAAAATAGATGTAATTTAGTTCAATTTCATTGCACTAAAAATAAATATACTATTTCTGAAATACTTAAAGTGGTATTTCAGTGTGCTTATTAAAAGTGTACTTGAAACTAAGTGTATTGTGAATTGCAAGTAAGTATTTCGCTACTACGTACTAAATCACAAATACTGTAGTCATTAAGTATACTTATCGAAAGTACAATTCTTTTTTTACTATTTTGTAATACCCTATTAGCATCAGTGTTGGAACTAACACATTACAAAGTAACGCGTTACTGCTACGCACCTACTTTTTGCGGTAACTAATAGCGTTACTAGTTACATATTCCCATTAAGTAACGCCATTATAGTTACTGTGATTTAAATGAGTGCGTTACTGCGTTACATTATGTGATGGAACTGAACCGAATCTCCCTGCGGATGTAATTTACAGGCGAATACAGCGATGTCCTCTCACAGCACCATGGAAAAGTGAAAGTAACCAGAGGAGTGATGATTGGTTAACGCGGGGTAACTTTTCAGGGTAAGCCAATCAGAGACAGAGTTGGGCGGTGTCTTGCCTTATGGGGAAAATACACACACGAACACTTGCTAATGCTATTGCTAACACACACACACACACACACACACACACACACACACACACACACACACACACACACACACACACACACACACACACACACACACACACACACACACACACACACACACACACACACACACACACACACACACACACACACACACACACACACACACACACACACACACACACACGGCAACGCTCACCACCAGCACACACACAATGGCAGATGCAAGTATCAGCGAGAGCAGCACATGGTGGATGTATAATAAGAACTGGATACAGCGTGGGAGGCGGGGCCTCATGAGAGAACCGCAGTGACGCGTCCTAAAACCCGGAAGTAAACTTCTTCCGGTTCCTTCGTCAAAAAACGCAATGCAATTTCTCCATAGGATTTTGGAAAATAGCTCGAAATAAGGTCTGTGGTTGACACACATTTAAGAGAGGGATCACGTTTTGTTCAGCCGGATAATCTCCACATGTCAACCCTACTTTTATAATTTTTGAATCATAAATCTAGTCGCCAGAAGCAAAATGCTAACGTTATGCTATAAACGAACTACAAGCTAGTACAGCAGCAGGGTCGCACGACTTCAACGTCACGCCAACTTAAGATCGTTTCAACTGACTTGCACTGAAACTGCACTTTGAACACTTTAAATATATTATTAACATTTTAAACTGTATACCCCGGTTATCTAGGCCCTTTTTTGTTTGTTTAATGTATACCACGTTCATCTAGGCCCTTTTTGTTTTGTTTTATGTATACATGTCCAGAGTTTACAGTAACACGTTACAAAAAATAATTTTGTTGGTGACGGAGTAGTGTAACGCGCTACTTTTATAATTCAGTAATCACACTACAGTTACTAACATTGCCCCGACACGCGTTAATAATAATAATATATTTTATTTATAAGCGCACTTTTCATTTGCGTAAACAAAACTCAAAGTGCTACAAAATTAAAAATTAAAAAGGGTGAAACAAAACAACAAAAACAATAAAAACAATAAAAAAACAATTTAAAAACAATTAAAACAACATAATAAAAGCTGTGACATTCATGCCGGCATGGCATAATGTGGGGGATTTAAAAATCTAGTTAAAGGCTATTCTAAAAAGATGCGTTTTTAGGCCTTTTTTGAACGCCTCCACAGTCTGTGGTGTCCTCAGCTGGTTTGGGAGGGCATTCCACAGTCTCGGAGCAGCGGAGCAGAAGGCTCGGTCTCCCATGGTCTTCAGTTTTGTCCTTGGTGGGATGAGGAGGTTTGCCTTTACTGAACGTAGGTTCCTCGTGGAGGTTTGTGGGGTGAGCAATTCCTTGATGTAGGAGGGAGCATTTCCATATATGCACTGATGAGTGAAGAGGGTGATTTTGTAGTCAATCCTGAGTGAGACCGGGAGCCAGTGCAGTGATTTGAGGATGGGTGTGATGTGTTCGTACTTCCGCACTCTCATCAGGATCCTAGCAGCTGTGTTTTGGATGTATTGCAGCTTCTGGATGTTCTTGCTAGGAATCCCAATGAGAAGTGCATTACAGTAGTCCAGCCTGGAGGAGACAAAGGCCGAGGGACAGACTCGGGGGGCAGGTTCTCAGGAATTTCTTGGCTTCTCTCCCCGAGCCAGAAGAGGAACACTAATAATAATAATAATATATTAATTTTATATAGCGCTTTTCTGGACCCAAAGACGCTTTACATTTGGGAGTGGGGGTATACAAACAAAAAAAACAAAAAAAACAGAGACAAAGCCAAAAAGAAACAAAACACAACAGAAAAGCAGTCAGGAGGAAGTTGATTAAGAGGGGGGGGGGGGGCTTTATAGATAAAGAGTTGAAGAGGTGGGTTTTGAGGCGGGACTGGAACAGGGTGGAAACACTTACTGTTCCTGAAATTCTCAAATCTGTTGGGCATCAGGGACCTCAGGCAATTGTGGCAAGCATGTCATTGTCTGAAGAGTAACAGAGGGCAATTCAGGTGGCTACCACTGGTCAGCAAACCAACCCAAACTGGCATTTGTTCAGGAAAGGAAGGTTGACTGCCAGCAACTTT